CCCCCGCTCCTCCCTCCCTCCCTCTCTCTCCCCTCACCCTCTCTCTCTCTATTCTCGCGCCCGCCGCCCCTGCGCGCACCGTTGATTGCGTTTTGCTTCATCATGCCAAATCATGCTAAATTACGCCGCGCACCCTACACCATGACAAATCATGCTAATTCATTTGTGTTTCATGCTAAATCGTCAGCATGCCAAATCATTATTGTATCATCATGTATCTGAGAGGGTCCATTGTCAGGGGGCGGTTAACATGCCTATGAACTCTGGTCCTCGCCTCAGCCGGGGGAAATGGGGCGGTAGCTGGGCCTGTCCAGGCCGCCCATGGAATTCTGGCGGGGCGCGGTCAAAGCGCGGGCGCGTCGCGCTTCGCCTCGCCGCGGACGCCCGAGGAGCTGCGCGCCAACTATCGGCCAGGGAGGCTTCAGAGTTGGGCAGAGGGCGCGGCCCAGTCGGCAGCAGGCAGAGAGAGCGCAGTCATCCAGGAAGTATTCGCAGCACCGGCCCTTTTTGTTACTCGGGCAAGCAGGGGGCAAGATTTCCGAATCTGCGTTGGGAGCACGTCAGTGTCTAACCTTCCGCACGTCGCCAGAGCTGCCCAGTCTGAGCTGCAAGAGCTAGGCGCGACGCTGACATACAGACAGGTAGTCAAGGACATAGGCATTGGCGGAACGCAGCGTCGCAGAGTCACGGCGCGCGCCAAACTGAGACAGCAGGCCAGCGCAGACAGGGGCCATGCGATCAAGCGAGTGGCCAAGTCGGCGCGCAATGCATCCAGCTTGGCCCAGACAGGCTTTGTCCCGCAGGCAGCGCGGGACCTGCCCAAGGGGTCGCGCCGCCAGCGCTGCTTCGCATGCGCGCGCAGCTCTCGGGGACGCCTGGCAAAAAGGAGGGGGCTGTGCGACAACAGCGATTCGCGCGACATTCTCATCGGCCCACCAAGATCCCATGGTTTTTGGCAGGCTCCGATTGTTCATGGAATGGGTAGCCATCTGCCTCGCATCGCCTTGGACTGGAGACAGGCACTCGAGACTGCGGGGCGAAAGGCTCGGGCGGAGCTCGGGCCAGCCAGCAACAGAAGGGGCAAAGTCAGGGGCGCGTTCGCGGCAACGGCTGTCGCCTTGCAAGTTTTAGGTTTCTCGCCGCGGGGCGTGGGCAACCACGATGGGGGGCCCATTAATCTTGAGACGGGCGCCCCCGAGCGCATTGTTGAGTTTGAATGGTGTGGCGCATTGGCAGCCAGCGTAACTAAACGCATGCAAGCACTATCAAGGCAAGGGGCTGGCGTTTGGCCCCGATCTTTTCAGGGGCGGAGCACGCGTGCGCCAGCTCCGGAAATCAAGACACGTGCGATGAATTGGGCATTTGTCGCATGGTCATGGCAGGGGCGCTCTGGCCAGCCAGCATGATTTTTGGCGCAGAAGCATCGCGGCCGCCACCACCGCCCCCTGGCGCCCGCCGACGCGCCCGGCCCACCTCGAGGCCCTGAGTGGCCGCGAGACCTTGAAGTTCAGGAGGGGGAGGGGGAGGCTGGTTTGTCTTCTGAGGGCATGCTGCGTCTGGCCCAGGGGGGGGGGGCTGGCTTGGGAAGGCCCCCACAGCAGCCCATCGTGGAGCCCGAAGAGCCCCGCGGACCGTGTCGCCCGACCTGCGCCAGCCCAGGTTGCCCGGGGTCCTTAGCGTCCCAGGAGTAGCCTGTTGCGTTTCACCAAGCGCGGGGGTGCCACGCCCCAGCCAATGAAGCCCCAGAGGGGCTCGGCAATGAGTTCGTTCCCCAGGCGCGGGATGAGGCCAACGATTGGCACTCTTTCTGGTTCCTTGGGCTTGCGGCCGCGCTGTGGACGCATCGGCGCGTGGCCCGTCCGATCCAGGGACAACTAGTCTTGGGGGGCGAGCTAGGCAGGCACCCCTCGTTTTACCCTGGCCAGTGTTCGGTCATAGCCACAGACGGACATGGAGGCAACTGCCATGAATACTGCCGGCTGCGGAGATGCTGGTGGGGCCTCAGACCTCGCCATGCCCGAAGACTGGGAGCTCGCGGCTTGGGCGCATGGCCCAGCCGACCACTGGAAGCAGCCCGCCCTGACCGCAGAGCTCGCTGCAGTCTCGAAGGCCGTCCATCTGACGACGGGACCGCTGGTGCTAGTAGTGTCGATAGTGTTTGGAAAGGCCCACAGGACTGCATGAGGCGAAAATGCGTTTGTGGGGTAGTTTGTGGGCGGCGATCGGTGACCCTCCGATCGTCGCCCACAAAGTCGAGTCTCGCCTCGCGGTAGAGCAGGCTCGGGAGGTTCAGGTTCCCCCAGCGCGTTGGCCGGCGAATGTGCATGCTGACATGTGCGACAAGGAGGGAGCGAGAGCCGCCCACTTGCCAGCCCACGATATCCTGGAAACTGCCAGGATCAATGAGCGAGCCAGTTCCAGCGCAGGCTCGTCAGCACCTGCAGCGCACGTTGCCGGCCATGCCCCAGAGATGTTTGGGTCTTCGCCTCGGACCGACCGGCAACACGATGTCAAAAGGCGGGCGGAGGGGCGGAGCGCGTGCGAAGGAACTGCCATCGGTCAGACCCAGCACCGAGTGAAGACTGGTGCGAAACGTTTGCCGTGCGATCTGCCACGGCCGACCCACGGCCGAGGTCCCGCGCTTGCAGTGGCTCGCCTCCCCATGCCGAGGTCTCCCGCTGCAGCTTGATTCCACGGGGCACAGTTTCCACGCATTGGGGGAACCCTGCACGAACCTCTTCCCCAAACATGTAAGGAGGATAGTCGATGCCCTTGAGGAAGGGAAGATCATTCCCGGGTATAAAGAGAAGAGAGGCCCCAGCCAGATGACCTAGAGCCTCCCCGGCGACGAGTGCGACAACGACGACGGCAATGACGACGGCCGGACGGCAGACAGATCAGAGGCAGGAGGACGACGAGGATGACGCGCGAGCCGTACTTGCAGCCACTCTGGTTGCACAAGGGGATACGGGACGCTGGTTACTTTTTTCCGTTCTGAGGAATAACGGGTTCCCCCCCCCCGTGACGATCACGATCGCCCTGGGGTCGTCCCCTTTCTTCGTGCTCACAGGCATGTGGTGACGCTCGCAGGCTATTGAGGTGGTCAAACTCTTTGCAGGCTTTGGTGCTCGCAGTGTAGTGTGGTCTGCGCAGGCCTATTGTGATGCTCACAGGCATATTGCGGCAGCGGTGCCGCCGCCGCAACCCCCGCTGCGCCCCTCGTTACTGTGACCCCTCCCCTCGCCCCCCCCACCCCACCACAGGGTGACGGATGTTACCCCAGGGGAACAAAACACAGGTCCTCGCGGCGATGGGTTCCCATGGGTAACAAGGTCCAGTTCGATCCGATTGAGCCGACTCGATATCAATTGCGGCCTGTTCGATCCGATTCGATTTCGATGTCCCAGTGATCCGATGCGGCCTCATGCTTGCGAGGCCCAGTAGTGAATCTTGGCGCAGTCGCCCTGAGTCGATTTCGATTCCGCGCCGATGAACCCCGATCCGGCGCATGTCCCGGTGCGATTCGATTTCCTGATTCGATGTTGATTGATCCTAGGTTATGGTGCCCCCCCGCTGCTGTCCGCAGCGAACGCAGGGGGGGGGGAAAGGCCATCTCGATCCGATTGATCCGACTCGACATCGAATTCGGCTGGCCCGATCCGATTCGGGTCCGACATTCCGACGATCCGATGCAGCCCGATGCTCGCATGGCGACGTTGTGCTCGTTTGCGCGGCCGATCCGATTCGATTCCGATTCCCTGCCGATGCTGCCCGATCCGATGCACAATCTGATCCGATTCGGTCTCCCGATTCGATGTTGACTGAGCCTGTCCCCTCACACCTCGCCCCCTTTTGCGACGCCAGCGCCAGACGGGCCGCAACTGGGGGAGCTGCGACCCTTACTGGGGGACCCATCGATTTCGCCACCCCTTTCGAGAGATCGTCGACACAGTGGGTTCTCTCAGGGGTGAGGAACACGGCTCCCCCAGTTGTGGCTGGTCGGGACGCCACAAACCCTCCGAGAGGAGACGGATCAGGAGGACTGCGTGGGAGCGCGCGGCGCTGGATGTGTTCCGTAGCCGCCTGTGCTCGAGCCAGGGCCCGTTTGGTCGGGAGGGCAGGATTGCGGGCCACGCTTTCTGCCGCCGCCATGCCCGTCGGTCCGGGCCCAGAGGCTCCATGAAGGAGACGGGTCCTGTTGGAAAGTTCTTCATCCCGAACCTCAGAGGCACGGCCGAACTCGCTTCGAACTTCTGGTCATAACGCACCCCTGCAGAGGTCCAGGGGAGTAGCGGTATGAGTACCCTGTCTCAGGGCCCCTCAAGCGGGCACTCTGGAACACCAGGATTTTGGCGTGCCCGAGAGAAAACTGCAGGCGGGGGCCGAAGCGTGATCCATGCTCTTTTCCCTCCAGGAGGAATCCTCAGAGTCCGTGTCAGCAATGTCCTGGAGATTCGACGGCCCTGATCTTCATTCCCCCCGGAACAGTTTGCAGGCGTTCCCGGGGCCCGTGGCGGAGGGCCCCGGGCGGCCCGAGAGCGGGGACGGAAAAGGGAGTTTCAGGGCCTCTTTCCTTTAGGACCCCGCTTCCTTCATTCGGCGGCGCACACGAGGGGGTGGCAAGAGGGGGGCGGCCTTGCCTTCCTGTCCAGAGGGGGGGGGGGGGGGGACGGCCCTGAGGCGTCTAAGAAGGTGTCTTGGAAGCCACATGGCTTCCAAGAGTCCTCATGCCTTCTTAGAAGTCCCCCGCCTGGAAGGCCCCTCTTTGACGCCGACTCCTTGTGCGCGCTCGGTTTTCGGGCAATACCTCAGGCTTCTGGCAGCCGTCGGGACGTTCCCTCTCCCGGGCTCCTCTCGACGAGGCGCAGCTGCTGGAAAGCATCTTTTTGGCGCGAAGGCTTACAAACAAGTTCCAAACAGCATCCGAGACCCTCCGATCCTCGATCCTCGGCCACCCACGCCACACCCCTTCGCGCGCCGCCATTCATGTTAGCAGCAGCATGGGGCTGTGGAGCGTGTGGCACGGTCAGCACAGGTGCTCAGGGGCAACGTCAGGGATAGGCTGGGGGGGGCGCATCGACACCCAATTGCCCACTACTGATCGCCAACGCAGGTCCGATAGCCCACGCGCCCAGCACCGTGCGGGTTTGCTAATTACAGGGGGTGTATCGCCGATCTATCGGCGATGTAGCTCAGATCCCATCTCTCTGGGTTTCCCGCCTTGCCTGGTCGCCCCCTACATTCCCCCCCCCGCCCTACACGAGCCACTTCATGGCGCTGGTGCTTGTTCTTCTAATCCTGGCGCTGACTATCTGGAACACGTAAACGTCGCGGATGTGGTGCGTCGCCCACGGGCGATGTATCTACGATTTCATTTCGGTAGTTCCCACCTGAGTTCCCCCCCTGGCGTTGCCCGTCACCTCTAGGGTGCATTTCGATCCGATCGATCCTGGCCAGCTGGGTCCGATCTGATCCAAGTATTGTAATGCGTCGCGTAATTCGACCAGCCCATCCAGAAACGATGCCAAGACGAGTTGCCCTGATCAGGGATGTGGAGGAGCATGCAGTGGAATAAAGGTCTGGGGAAGACGTCGTACCCCAAGAAGGGGGAGGATTGAGAAGGGTGCAGGAGGGAGGAGGAGGAGGAACAGGATGGGGCGGGGGAGGAGGAGGAGGAGGAGGAAGAGGAGGAGGAGGAGGAGAAGAGGGTTGGGGAGAGGAATGGGTTCTTTTGCCGCAAGGCCCGTACTATAACACACTTACAGACTTCAATCGACCAGACGCGCGCCCTCTGTTGTGGCCGCGCATCGATTTTGGATTGCCTCTTGTGTCTTGTCTTCGTTACTCGCCGTTGTGCAGCGTTTTGCAGCGCAGTCACCACGACGGCTTAGAGAAGACGCGAGAGGGAAAAGAGAGCAGTTGCCAGGTCACTCGCACGACTCGGCAAGGCGAACAGCTTGCTTCAATATAAGTATTCAGCTCAACGCCCTTCGATGTATTGGAAGTGTTCAGCATGCCCGTTTCAGGTTCCCATGAAATACTGGACATGTGGTCGTTGTGGAAAAGTTGGAGATGGTTCAGAGGAGACAGGCCCCCGCCCTCGACCGCGTCCCAGATCGTCCAGTCGCACCAGAAACACCAGCCGCTCCAGGAACCAGCAATTCCGTGGGACTCCATCTAAGGCAGCCCTTCCGTCGATATCAAAAGTTATCGGGGCGACAGTGTCAGCGACCCCAGTTATGGCCATGGTCTCGCCTGTGTAAATCCCGCCACCGAGCGAGCTCGCTTACGAAGGCCGACGTTTATATCAACGAGACACAAACACCAAGCTCAATACAGTTGCCATACTAGTATCAGTGCCTCTTCAGACAGGGAAGCAGCCGTCGGAGCTACTGTACGAATATGCAAACATTGCCACCGCTCGTTTCATGATTGAACAGCTGGGGGGCATTCAAAAGCAGATTGTACACGCCAGGGTCGGATACGAACGCACTCAGAACCATAGCAAGAAGATCGACGAGCAGACCAGCACCTTGCAGGTTCACAAAGGAGCGTTCGAGCAGGAGTTGGCATTATCTGAACAGACGATCGATCAGCTCATACGGCGCCAGCAGGAGGATGTGGATTGGGATATGGTCACAGGCGACCAGCATCAAGGTCAGCCATCCCCCCAGCAGCCTGGGGCCTCCTCCTCGTCTGGTCAGCAGTCCTCGCCGCCGTGGCACAACCAGGCAGCCAAAGGCGACCATCCCCCAGCGCTCCGCACTGCAGGAGGCGCCAGATCAGCACATCAACGACCAGCATGGAAGGGTGGTTCCCAGGGACCCGCAGCGCGACCAGCTCTCGGCGACCATGATACAGTTTGCGACCATGATACAGTTCGCGAACAAGCTCGCTCAGCAGGACGTTATGATTCAGCAGCTCTACCACAACAGTCCCAAAGGGATTGGCAAAGGGCGCAGCCAGCAGCCGCTACAGCAGCAATAGCAGCAACCCCAGCATGTTCCCATCCCGCAGCAGCAGCCGCAGCAGCATCAGCAGTCGCTACAGCAGCCAGCCCAGACTTCACCTCCAGTCCCACAGGAGTGGAAATTCCTGCAGCAGCCCCTCTGCAGCGGGGCAAGCTGGGGAAGGAGCGCCCCCACCACCGCCGCCGCCGCCTCCTCCCCCCCCCCCCAGCCAGACTCCGCCTCCGCGGGTCCAGCGGTCGCAGCCCCGCGGACTCCCGCAGTCATCAGGGGGGTTCGCTCGAAGGTGCGTTTCTCTCCAGCGCCAGCCCCGACTCCGTCGACGGTGCCGAATGCTCAGCGCCCGCCATTGTCCCCTACAGAGCCTGCGGAACCACCAGAGGATCATTCCACGCCCGAGGCTGTGGACCCGAGCTCGGAGCCCGCCGTCGCGCCGAGCCTGCCGCAGCCGAACTCGCAGACCGAAATGTTTCCAGGTCCGCCCAGTTTGTCCCAGCCAGTGGGGGGCCCGTCGCCGCTCCCCCCCGCTCAGCCTATTGTCAGACAGCCGGAGCACATGAGGGAGCAGGCCCCGCCGTTTCAGCCGCAGCAGCCTCAGCAACGTGCTGCGCCGCCTGTGATCGAGGTACAGTCGCAGACGCAGCGCGCGCAGCTCTCGGCTCTCGACATTGCACAGGCGGCGCAGCACATCGACAACGCATGCAAGAAGGCAGTAGATGGCTTTCCAGTTGCACAGGAGATCGACATCACGAATCAGATTATAGAGGTCCTCCAGGCGCGCATCCAAGCGGCAGATCAGATCCCCGAGGAGGAGTTCCATGCCATACAGGACATGATCGACAGAGTCAAGGCCATCCAGTCCTCGGCGGACCCGGAGGTCAGTTGCCCAGGAACCTCCAGCGGCTCTCGGGACACAGCCCCCCAGCTCACGCCTCTGGGGCAGAGCGAAAGCCCGCCAGGGGGATTTAGCAGGGGAGGGCGAGCTGTAGGCATTGAGCCTGCCAGTCGCCAGTTGAGTGAGGGTTCCAACGAATGTTTGTCTTACTCTCCCGCTCCGATCCTTGGGAACGCGTTCGGAGCCCCCGTTGCCCTGCCCCTTTCGGCGCAGGCCTCGGGGGGTGGGGGGGCGTCGAAACAATGCCTCACGAGTGGCCGGCGCTCCCACCTCCAGGCCCCGCAGGGGCAGGCGGAGCAGATTGCGTGCATGATTGGCTATGCTTTCGCATCGTGTCCGCAGTATATGTCAGCTGCAGCGGAGGATTTCGGAGGAGGGGTTCAATTCATTGCCGGGTAGGGGCGCAGTAGCTGCCCCCCCCCTCTTTCCCCCGATTACCATGGCCCCCAACCCCATCGGGCCGCCCGCGCCCATGCGCGTTCCTGCAGTGAAGGGGGGGTCTGGGGTTCGACTTGCGCCGGGGGGAGTTCACTCAGCATCGCAGAGAGCTATCGGCGCATTGCCAACACGATCCAGCGGAAATCTCTTTAGGAAGCCAGGCGCCCAGGGGCATCCACACTCAGGCGCCCCGCCGCACAGCCCCCATCAGCCCTGACCAACTCCAGCTTCAGTTGGGGGGTTGAGCCCTTCCAGATCCTAGCGGCTACTGATTGCCGTGTGCAGTGGAGAACCTCAGGCCTCCCTCCCCTGGAGGAACCTGCGCAGTTTGCTCTTGAAAGCTGCCCCAGCAGGACTGGCCACTCGCAGGCTGGGCACGTGTACTGCGACGGCTCGTTGGACCCACGAGACCCGTCCACCGCGGCATGGGGAATGACAGATTGCATCAATATGATTCGGGATTCGCATGCTCTGGAATAGCTGGAGCCCCGTGGGTTGAGTCATCATTGCTTCCCTTCCCAACCAATGCTGACAGTGCTGACATTGAGTTCTTCGCCATCGCATGGGCCGTCATACATGCGACCACCAACAGGGTTACCATACCTTTCTTTATACACAGTGACAGTTTGAAGGCAGCAGATTACTTACACGGCAAATCGTCGGCAAGAGCGAATACCGACGTTGCGCGGCTTGCCAGGGTCTTGCTATCCTTCGCTCGGTCCCGCGCGACGGTTGCCCTGGCTCACGTCCACGGGCGCGACGTGCACCCCTGGAACATTGCTGCGGCAAGTTGCCCGTGCAGTAATGCGGGTGACGACCCCGTTACCCCCCCCCCCCCACCCGCCCCCCCCCCCCCCCCGCACTGCTCTTATCGAGTTTATGGAGCGCGCCAAGGGGCGCGAGCGGGAATGGCTAATGGCCGCCCCGCCTGAAGAGAGAGAGAGAGAGAGAGAGAGAGAGAGAGAGAGAGAGAGAGAGAGAGAGAGAGATGCTCACCCCACTGTCATCTCCGCGCCCTCATCAGCACCATTCTCTTGCCACATGGCAGCCCCAGTGCCGGAATTGCGTGCTCAGACCAGCGACCTTGTTGCCCCTGTCCGCGCGTCCATTATCAAGGCATCAGCATGCATGCACGTTGATCAATACAATGTGCGCTCTCTTGGTTACTATGCAAAAAGCAGCGATGAAACGCCCCAGGCCGCCATGCGAACCACTACTATTCGGCGCCAGTTTGCTGTGCAAGGCGTGCACGTCGTGGGATTACAAGAGGCTCGGACCCCCCAGGAAGTCAGATGGGCGGGCCCGTTTTACATTGTGTCTAGTGGCCATGGCAACCATGAGCTCGGCGTCGAGATATGACTATATGCTGACAAACCGTATGCCTACATCAAGTCCACGCCCCAGTATTCTGCCCCCGGGCAGATCACGGCCCTGCACTCCTCTCCGAGAATTATCATTGTTGCCTTGCAGGCCCCACGACTCGAAATGGAGATTTGCTCGGCCCACGCCCCGCACAGCGGCAACAAGGCGAAGGAGCGGACCCAGTTCTGGTGCTTTCTTGGCAACTTTCTCCCAGAGCACGTTGTACAGTTTATGTTTATTGAAGCGAATGCGCGCGTGGGATCTCAGGATGCCCCCCGCGCAGGAAGCTCTGGGCCCAGCCAGCAACCAGACGCGCAGGGGGACTTGTTTCAGGCGTTTCTCGCTGGAGGCGACCTAGTCGCGATCGGCACCTTCCACGAAGGGGGTCGCCAGCGTACGTTCACCAGCATGCAGGGCACTCGATATCGCATTGACTACATGTGCGTTGATCCGTGGCTCCAGCCCCACTGTTCGCGCGTCAAGACCTGGGCCGATTTCTACAACCTCGCCAAGGCTAGAGATCACACGCCCGTGCTGGCCACGATTTCTTGAGACCAGGTGGCCCAGGAACGTAGCTGTCCTACTCAGGCGCTCGACGCTGCCCTGATACGCGATCCCTCTAAGGTGGCCCTTTTCGAAGAAGAATTGGCAAAGATCCCCCTTCCCCCCCGGTCTACCTCGCCGCCCCCCCATGCCTCGTTGGCCTCGCGCCAGGTGGGAGAAGTTGCCACTCAAGTTTTCTCTCGCGGGGGGGCGCCCCCCCAAGCAACCCGACCTCGCGCCCTCCTCCCTTTTGTTGGTTCGACTGCGTCGGGGGGCGTTGCGGGCCCTCCGCAAAATCGCCGCCTCTGACACTCCCTTTTCTTCAGAAGGTCCCCATTAAGTTTGCGGGCCGTTGGGTTTCTGGCGATCTCAAAACCACGTTCGACGGCTTGGGTGAATGCCCATGGAGCGATCTTTTCCTGCAAGGCCGCCGTTGGGCCAAGAAGGCATTGGAGCGTGCGTGTCACCCCCCAGGAGTGGTTATTGTTTCTGTATTATGTCAAGATTCGCTCTAAGCGCGTTCTGGGTGAGCCCCTCGAGCAGGATAGATGCAGCTTCTTGAGTCGATTGCTCGGGACATCGTCAGTGCTGCTGATGCTCGTCAGTCCCGATCTCAGCGTAAACACATTCACTCGTTGCTCAGGTTTGGAGGACGCAGCAAAAAAACTATGTGCTTTCCTTGCATGCTGGGACCCACGCCCCCCCCCCCCCCCCCTACTCCCGCTCACATTGCCGAACGCGCGCAGCAACACTTTGGGAGGGCGGAGAACGCCAAGATGCTGGATGGTAGTAAGATTGTTTAACGCTTTAATGAGCGCGTGGTTCCCCTCTTGCCAGCCAGCCCATCTGCGCCATCTGCTTCCCTTGTGTCTCCCCCTGTTGACATGGGGCCTGCTCCTCCTAGTTGCGACTCGCACTTCTACTATCCTGAATGGGGGCCACCCATGTTTTCTGACTTTCCTCAGGCTGCGCCTGTCGAGCCCAGGCGCCGTGGCCCCGAGACCGAGGAAAAAAAAGCCCCGCCCGACACTTGGGCGAACCAAGGGGCGGGGGCCCTCCCAGCTCAACTGGACTCTGCTTGCATCTCAGCCCTCGCCGGTGGTGCGGCCCCCACGCGTGCCGTGAAGCTTGAACCCCAGCCTGGACCTGACAGAGTCCGCGATGCTTCTTGCAAAATCGCACCCGCCGAGATGTCGCGCATTTTCGCCCCATCTCTTCTGTGAGACTGCTATGGCCAAGATTGAGCCCGCCAGTTTCAAAGACGGGCGGGTGGTTTGGTTCTGGAAAGGAAAGGGCCCACAGAACTGCGACGCCAATCAGAGGAGCATTCTCAAAGCGAACACCATCGGCAAGCTCTATCATCGATTTGTTCGATCGGATGCTATCGCTCTGTTCCAGCACGCGCTTCTTCTTACCCAATGCGGAGGGCTCCCTGGTCGATCATACGACATGGCTGCCCATCCCACTCTATTATATCACCGGGCTGCCACACTTGCCAAGGTCAGCTCTGCTCATCTATTCGTCGACCTCACTAATGCGTTGTATACTGCCATCCGCTCCTTTGCCCTGACCCTACCCTGGGAGCAAGAAGAAGTGCCGGGTGTGCTCGACACGTGCGAACTTCCCTCGGTGCTGATCCATGCCGCCCACGCGCTCGCTCGAGACATCCCCACGATGGGAGAGTACCTCGATCGACCTCACCTGCTTGCCCTGGTGAGGGAAAGCCAGACCGGAGCTTTTTGGAAAGTGGAAGGTACGGGCAATTATGTTGCCCCTGATACTGGACCTCGCCCTGGGACCACTATGGCTTCCGATGTGTTCTGCGCTGTTTTCAAGAAGGTCCAAGTCCGTGTGGACACAACCATGAAACATCGAGGGTGCTCCACGGTCCTGGGCCACTGTTTCTCAAAACAAGATGATTTGTTGTGTGCCACCCCCCACCGTCTCTTTTATTGATGACTTAACTGCCCATATCGGCGCCCAGAGAGCGACGGATCTTCCAAAAGCGGCGGCTGACACCATTGACATTTTCTACGAAGCCATTTGCGCTATCGGCATGCGAATGAACGCCAATGAGACCAATATCATGCTTTGCTTTAGGCATCATGGCTCTGCTGCCCTCAGGCAGCAATGCATTGGTGTCCCCACCACCACCCTCACTTCCCCCAAATAGAATGTCACCCTGGTAATCGCTTCTGTTTCTAAAGTCTTGGATGTGCACATTCTGAGCAGCGGGGGCATGGGCGGTGAGAATTCGAACCGTCCTAAGCAGTCTGCCACTGCGATACGGCCTATCGAGACTGCCGCTGGACCCAGAAAAGCGTTTTCGGTTCGGGATCGGGCTTCCTGGGGGAGTCTCTCGGCTCCTTGGTCCTTTTTTGAGTCTGCCGCTATTTGGGACCCCCATCGCCCTCGGCCTCCAGGACACTCAGGGGTGCGCATGAACGGATCTATTGGGCTGCTCTGGGATTACCAGCCATCAACAACGCCACGGAGCACCGATTGTACCAGGACATCCTCAACATTGTTGAGCGCCTGCCGTGGCAACATGTCGTACGCATCGCGCGGCTTAGATATCTTTCCAGGATTGCTCGCGTCAGCAATGACCCCCCTTTTTGCGCTATCTAGTTTATAGTATG